TACAACCATCAAAACTTGTTTCTTCACTTTGGCCTTAACAAACTCAGAGGTTTAAACCTCACTGCCGGGACAGGAGCTGTAGCTCAGGCTTCCTAAACTATTTGTTCCAATGTGCTAAGCATCCAGACATTTTAACAAAAGTAATCTTTGATTTGACTGCTTACCTCTCTACTACCTTCTCTTGTATCTCTGCTTTCTGTATGGATCCTGAATGGGAAACTACAGGAGCAGCTGTAGTTTTGCTGTCAAAGAAGTCTGAAAGAAAGGACAGACGCCTGTGAGCAAAAAGAACAACTGCTCAACCCTCTATACAAAATTCTGACTAGACAGGAATTTAAATTAATACCTTACTGAATCAAGGGAAGAAAACACAGACATCACTCCACTTGATAGCCTCAAACAATTACAACATTAAAACATGGTGAGAAAACACTGCACAATAACAAACTAGCAAAGAATCTCTCTCCTTTCTCTCTTTCCAGCAATACACCATTGCCAGCTAATAGCAATAACTAGAAAAAGAAAGCAAAAACCCTTCCATCATCCATGGCATCAATAGCAACCATCGATGACATTAAGTTCAACAAGGTAAACGCCTGGTGCTGCACCTGGAACAGAGTACTGCCAGCCACAGGCACAAACTGGGAGCAGAGTGGCTGGATGGCAGCTCAGCAGAAAGAGATTTGGGGTGCTGGCAGACAGCAGGCTCAGCATGAGCCAGCAGTGTGCCCTGGCAGCCCAGCGGGGTGCCATTAAACACAGCACAGTCAGGCAGTCAAGAGAGGTGATTCTTCTGCTACATTTAGTGTGGTGTAGTCTCACTTGGAGTACTGTATGCAGTTCTGGGCTCCACATTATAAAAAAGCAAGTCCCTTCCAGCTGAACTATGCTATCCTACCCTAACACAGCTTCATCTTACAGAATCACTTACCACTTCACTCATCATTACCTGTAGGTAGAGAATTAGGTATTGCTTCTGGAGTTGGAGGTGGAATTTCAGTTTTGTGTGTAACGGAAGATTTGTTCGATTGATCTTGTTCCTCTTCATCATCGTCGTCGTCATCATCATCATCATAATTTCCTGACAATAAACTGGGACCGGGACCCTTGGAAGGCTGTTTGCTTGCACTGTTTTGCTCTGTTTCATCAAAAAAATCTGCTGGTAGCCTAGTGAAGAGTACACAATGCAACTGTTTCAAATATCACAAAAAACAGTTTGACTCCCGCATCTGCAGTCTATTCAGTCTACAAGATTGTATCGCTCACAGATCTTGTACAATATGCTGAACTGCTCAGCTACTGATAAAACCACTGTTTGAAGGCAACACATAATTGCTGCTTTCTTCTGAAGTTCCCTAGGAATGCTGAGGATAAAGCTGAAAACACATTTCAGTTCAGTTGTGTTTATTATATTGAGTATTCTAATAAAAAACAATAAAAGCATCCTACAACAAAGTGAGCTTGGAAGAATGGCAGCTACGGTAATTGTACTTTCACATTCAAAGCAACTTGCAACTATAAGATGTCACTTAAATCTTGACACCCTTCATGCCTAATACAACTACTCGCTTTGGGTACCTACTGCAGCTTAGAAGTCCTGTGCAGGCTCAGCAGCGAGAAAACCCAGATTTGTTTAGGATAGCTGCAGGTCTCCGAGACAAACATCTTGCTAGGTTATATTTTAAAATAAGCATACCAATCAGATTAATAACGAACAAACCTCTCAGATAGTAATTCTACACACGTGTTAGCACACAAAATTCTTACAAGGTGTCTTTAGCGTCAAGATAAAACTGCCTAATATCTATGCAAAATAATAGTTGATCTCAAGAACAAATTTACAGGAGACCTGCAGGCCTTATGTGAAACCTACCAACCCCACACAGACATCCAAACACCATCAGAAATCTTAAGTGGCAATAAGATGTGTAACTCAATCCCTGGAAGTCAAATACACTCCTATCTTTGCAAGAGTTCAACTGCAAGATATGTATTTACATGAATTTTAAGTGCAAAAAAGTCTTAATAAAAAGCGCTGATGACATTTGTTAGTAGTTTCCGTGGCTAAGTGTCATTTAAATGTATACTACAACATTTGTCATCATTTCGGACTACCATCTCTTCTGCAGTATGGCACCATTAAATACTGGAGTGCATGCCACAAAATAGTTATTTTCATTCCAGTAGACAGTGCAATAACAACACATATTAAGCAGTAAAAGTCAGACAGTGACAGCAAAGGAATTCCTGTTTTGTCACAGACTGGAGTTAATACCACGATTTTCTCATCTACACAGAGCATGATGCTGCCACATTCAGGAACGCACACCCACATTAGAAACTGAACAGAAGCAGGAATCTGCTGATTCTCCGAACCTTTACCCTTGGGTAGGAGAGATGAGGAAGAACAGGGTAAGAATGTAACAGCTGGTAGAGTTACAACCAAAAAGATACATTGAAGATCTACTTACCCAGATGTAGATGTATGTGGCTTGTCTTCTGTACCTGTATAACGGCCAAAAGTCACGTCTTACAACCCATGCTTTTAAAAGAAATCTCTCTCACAGTCAAACTACTGCAGCAATTTCAGGAAGTTAGGGACTATTATCATTATTTCTGAAGAGCCTGCCAATTAAATGTCCCATACTACCATCAGGTACCATGAGCGTTACAGAGTTACAAACCCAACACACACAAGATTGTTACCTTAAATTTGTAGTATCTACTTAAGTTTTCATGCCCACTTAATACCAATGCAATAGCTTGCTTCACAGTACTTACTATAACAAAGTGAATTTAAAACACTCCTTGTATATGAACCACGAAAAACAAAGAGTATTTTAACCCGGTAAGTTAGAGAAAAGGTAAACTACCAAAAGAGCAGTTTTCTGCTGATCAGGTGAACTCACAAAGAGCAAGCCAGACTTTTTCCCTTTCCAGCAGCAACAGGCTGACAGATTAACACAACAAACCTGTTAACTCACTTCCACAGCACAGCAAAAGAAAACAAAACACATTCAAGATGTAAAATAGGTAGATTTTGTCAGGTGCTTGGAAAGTATATTCTCTATTTACCTTTCGCTCTCTTTAACTCTGCATTTTCTGTGTCAACAGTTTTTCTCTTGGCAGGCTTAGACAATGTGCTAGCAGCTGGACCGGTTGCTGTCTGCTTTGTGCCTTTTAACTCCGCAACTTTCTGTAAAGAAATACACGTTTTTAAGAGGCTTTTCTGTCAGGAGCTGTTGGACTGCAGGTTAAAATACAGCAATTTTAGGATATCTTATTAAAATCAGTTAATATGTTTCCATAACAATGCCACTGAAACAGGTGTCACAGATTATAGAATCGCTTAGGTTGGAAGAGACCTGCAAGATTGCCTGGTCCAACCATCACCCCACTACCAGTGTCATCCCACTAAACCCTGTCCCTAAGCACCATATCCAACCTTTCCTTGCACACCCCCAGGGACGGTGACTCCACCACCCCCCTGGACAACCCCTCCCAGTGCCTGACCGCCCTTTCTGAGCAGAAACGCCTGAAACCGAGATCAGGGTTTGCATCAGCCCCTTCACAACGAGGTGAGGAGGGGGCTGTGAGGCAGAACCCCCCACCCCCCGGCCGCCTGACCCACCTCGCGGTGCTGCCGGCCCAGGACGTGTGTCTGCCACAGCAGCTCGCCCTTGACGGGCGCGTTGCAGAGCGCGCAGCTGAGGTGCCCCAGGCTGTTGTACGTGGCGGCGGCCGTTAAGGGAAGCGAGCCGGGCGCTGAGAGACCCCCCACCCCCAGCCCCCCGCCCACCACACCCCGCCCCGGCTTTGCGGCGGAGGATATCTGGCGAAGGGCGACTCGATGCGCTTCTTGTCCGCGTTCTGCCGCTGCTTCTCCCGCATCAGCCGCCGCAGCTCCTCCTGCCGCACCGCCGCCCGCCCCGTGCCCGCGCCGCCCGCCGCCATCTTGGGCCGCAGCGCCCCGGGGGCGGGAAGGGGCAGGGGGAGCGAGGCACCGCCCTCAGGGGGGAGGGGAAGGGCGGGGCGTGTGTGGAGGAGGGAGAAAGGGAAGTGCAAAACTATTGAAAAAAATAAAAATAAATTAAAAAATTAAAATCACAAAAATAAAAATCAATTAAAAAGGAAGTACTAAAAATCCCAAAAATAAAAATCAATTAAAAAGTACTAAAAATCCCCAAAATAAAAATCCCCAAAATAAATAAAAATTAGAGTCCAAACCAACATTACCAAAATAAAAAAACTGCCCCGCAAAAATTACAAAAATAAAATCGCAAAAATAAAAAATTAACTGCAAAAGTAAAAACGTTCAAACACAAAATTAACAAAATCTGATTATAAAAACTAAAAAAAAAAATCAAAATTACAATAAAATTACTAACATCCCCAAAATAAAAATCCCAAAAATAAAAATCCCCAAAATAAAACTGTGTCAGCAACAGGGGCTGACAGAATTAAATTAATTGTTAAATTAAATTTAACAGAATTAAATTCTCCGCCTTCAGCAACTTCCCCCCAGTAGCTACGCCCTCAGAGCGCCACCAGGCCTGGACAGGCACCATCCTGCAGCCGTGTGCCGAGCCTTCTGACTAAAGTGCTTGCAAGTTCCCCCCCCAAAGTGTCAAAAACATAAAAAAATAAATAAAAACTGAAACTTTAAACCCACCACCAGTACACCCATCCAACCAAATGCTCCAAACACCAGCTGAACATACTCCAGGTGATATATAACTGTGAAAATTACTTCAAAATAAATAAATAAATAAATAAAAAATAAATAAATAAATAAATAAAAAGCCATAAAGTGCAGCTTTTCTTCCAGGCTGAGCTTCCCGCTACCCGTGGCTGTGAGGCCCCACAGGCCTGCTGGTTATGGCAGCGCCTGCCCCACTCCTCCTGCCGGCCTCCACGGCACGCGCTTTCATGGGGACAGCAACATGCGCCCTGTCCACAACACACACACGTAGCTTAATAACCACATCAGGACCAAGGGCAGCAGAGCACTTTCTGTATTTTATTATTTACCATAGTACAATAAAATAAGTTAACTAAAAACTCCAGTCCCGAGTTCCGTGGTGTCAAGCATACCACCCCAAACCATGACTGATCATCAAAAAAACAAAAAAAAAAGCCCACAAACCAAGAAGCATTACTCCAGGCTTACAATATCACTGCCAGAACTTGCTCACTGAGAATTTCACCAAAAAGTACAAAAAAATAGCTATTTCCTGCTGTTGTCACAGAGCCAGCCATCTCTCAGCTGATGGCTCCACAGCCCCGGGGATGTCTCACATCACGGCCTACAGGGAGCTGTGGGACTCAACATCCATTTTCTAAGACAAACTTCATGGCACGACATTGTGCCCGAATGGCAAATCCGAGGTGAGCCAAAGCAATAGCAACTGCAGGAAGACAAGAGGCTAAGCAGCGCCAAGGTGAGCAACTCATCTGCCTTCTGAGGTGGTGAGGGGGGTGGCTGGGGGCGCGGGGATGAATCCGGCAGCAAGCTGGTATCACGGTATGTCTAGGTGGCAGAGTGAGTGGGAACATACCTTAGACCATATAGGGTCTCCAGCTCAGAACCACCACCCTTTGCTGAATCCAGATGTGCTGGTGAGAGAGAGTCATCATCCTATTTTTTTTTTTTTTTGCCTCAAAGTAGCAAGTTATTAAAAGATCTGCTATGTAAAAATCTTTGGGTTATCCCATCTGGTTTTGAGACAGGTTGAGGATGTACTCACACCAGCACACCTCCAGGAGCAGCAATTTCTGGGCAGGAGAGATGGAAGTCAGGAAAAGGCTGAAGTCAGTAGCCTTTTCCATTGATGGAATGATCCAGAAGAAAATATCATGTCCTCACCCAAGAGAAAAATATCATCAGCAGCAGAAACGGACAGAGTCCTAACCATCACCACAGCTCCCAGTTCTCTTGATAGCAGAAGAGAATTCTTTGCTTTATGGACATGTACCTGTGAAATTTCAATGTGTTGGAGCGCACACATATTTGAGAGGGTGAGGATCCCTTCCATCACAAGAAAGTGGCTAATTTTGCATCCCCTGATTCAAGCAACTACGGTGCTGGTGGTTTTAGAGTCAGCTGGCCCAGAAGCAGCAAGAAGCCAGGGCTTCACAAACATGGTTTACAACTGTTCTGCCTTGTAACCCTGAAGTTATAGGAAAATAACTGGGAGAATAGAACATGACCAGACTAGCAGCCCTAGGAAAAAATACACAGCCTGATCATGTCCTAGCTTAAGGTAAGGAAGCTCACAAGGAATTTAGACCTTAATATCTTCCACAGATGCTGAGAATAGAGTTTCAAATGGAAGAAGTAGAGTCTTCTAGAAACTGGTTAACAGTAAGAATATGAAAACTCCATTCTGGTATGGTCAAAAGGCATTTTTAGAATACCAGTTCTAAATGAGCAAGTTCCTTTTTAATGCACGGCTATTTCTTCATTCATCCAATGGCATTTTTCACTAAAATGTCCTTTTGATTACAAACACCAAGCAAATACTTTTAGATTTATAACTTTTTTTTTTTTACATGTTTTCTGTTTTTACCTTGTAAGGATAGCTAACCCTGTAGCTGCCTATATGGATAAAAAACTTACTATCTAAAGGCATGAGATGAAGGAGCTCTTTTTTTCTTTCACAGAAATAGGCTACATACAGTCTATACTGTGTACATGACTGACTTACCTATCAGAATCAGCAGGGAAAAAGCAACTCCCACTAGAGGTGTTAGCTATGACCGACAACTGCAAACAAAGTTGGCTGCCCCCGCTGAAAGCCACCATCTCCAGCAAAAGCTTATTTTTCACCTAACAGAGAAGGCTAAGCTTGGCACATATCTGACTAGGAGAATCAGACGTAACTTCAGTCACATGGCACTGCTAAAATAAAGTTGTGTCACCTTGTAAAATCCTACAAAAATCACTAATTACCTTAACAGACTAGAAATAAGCACTGCATTTTTTCCATTAGCATCATGAATTCACTGAAACCAGAAAAAAAAAAAGTAGAAAAAGAACATTTCAAAATAGCCCCTTAGTTACACCTTGTTTTAACGGAACCCTTCAGGTTTGAGCAGCACAAGTGACCTCATTTCACTTTCTACCACAACTCAAGAAGGAACAACCAATAAAAATAAGCTATAAAAAATACAGTAAATCAGAAATCCATGTAAAAAACATACACCTGTATCAAGGAGCTCAGTACAACTTAAAGCACCACTCAAAATTAAGTACCATACATGTTACAGTACATTCCATTTATTTTGACAATTTAAGGCTAAAATAGGTACGACTCCCTTATAGTCAAGCTTTCTTATATTTATAAATGCATACAAACATTAAGTAAATACAAATGTGTAGGGTTTTTTTTTTATTGCTCTGAACTGCCTACCAGTCCAACATTGAACTTTCCTAGATGTTGTCTCAGTTTGCCTTTTCCCATCGAGCTGAAGCCCTAAAATTGCAACTTATGGCACTTGTATGGTTATAGACCTTCTTTGATTTGAGCTGTAATAAATTCAAAGACATCAGAAAATATTGCCCATCATTGCAAACGTTGTAACATAGTTAAGTAAACAATTGTCCATACGATACATAACAATTCACCACAAAGATTACTTGTGCAATTCTTCAGGAAGGATTTTCTTTTCAAAATAATAGGTCTAACCAAGCGGCAAACAAGACAACCAGCAAGAAATGATTGACTAGTACCAGTCTAACAGACTGAGCTTTAAGAAAAAAAACAAGCTGAATATGTGCTCCAAAACAAAGAGCAAACTTTTCTTCTTGCTCACAGAGCAATTATGTTTCCTAATTATGCAGGGTAATGCTCCTCATTCCACCAGTGCCAAATTCTTTGACTGTAGCTTGTCCATTTCTTGTCCGATATTTCCTTCAATGGTATCACACTGGGCAAGAAAAGCCTGAGAACAAGAAACAAACAAGTGTTAGCAGGGATGCAACTACAGCAGTATCAGGCTGCTTCATACGAACAGAAACTGAAGTTTCCATCGTGAACGTGAAGATGCCAATCCGATGACTGCCTTTGAGTTCAGTTCTGATATTGGTCTATTAACAATTTTGTTTACCTGGAATCCAACAGAAACATAGTATTTGATAAAGCAACAAGGGGGCTGCCCATCCTCACCAGTCCTGCCACTGAACTACTTCAAAAGTTCATAATCAACATTAAGAATCACAAAGGTTCAGACAAGTTAGTGATTTTACACTCCTTCCTAAAACACATGCTTCTGTAGCCACGGTTCTGTAACAATCCTACTCAGCCAAATCTAAAACAAGCCGTCATTAAACCACGGATTCCTCTCTTTCTCAAGACTACAGGACAACATGAGCCCTCATCTTCACAGTAAGCAGCCAGCATGCCTGTAAAGACAGAAGGCATTTTTTCCCCAAAAAGGGTACTCCATAGTACCTTAAGCATTTCTTACAACCTGCACACAAATTCGTACAAGTACAGCAACTTAAGTACACACACAGCACTTAAGAGCCAGCAGCCCCTGGTTACCTTGCCTGTGCTGTGCCAGCAGAGTAAGCTTCCTACCTCCACCAATAAATCTTTTTAGACCAAGTTCAACATACTCACCAGTTTCTAAGCAGACTCTCCCATGATCTATAAATTTCTTGCACTCAGTTGTAGCAAAACTGCACTAGACTTAACAGTCAAACTGGATATTTGTTGTTACCCATGTTAAAGTGATTAATAAACTTCCATCCCTCTGAAACGTCAGTCTGTTGTATGAAGTGAATGTTTCTCAACCACACTCTTGGATCATTCTTCAACCAATCCCCTGAGCTGACATCAGCTCGCTTCTGTAATGACTTGAGGGATGAAAAAATTAAGGTGGTAACAACCAGCTTCTGGCTGTGAGTGTTTTACTTCTGTCTTCCCATCTCTGGGAGATACGGGTAATTACTAGCAACAGAACACAGTTAATAGTTCCACCTCGCTTACATGAATACTTCAGAGTAATAAGCACAACTTGCCATCATTTCCTTGCTCTTGAAAAATAATTTGTTGTTGAATAGTTTGGTCTTAAACCCCTTAGATTCTTTTGCAGTCCTCAAAGGGATCATAACGTACAGTTGCAGAACATTATGCCAATAAAAGTACATAGATAATTCTGATCTCTGCTCAGCAGAGTCTACTTTATGCTCTAACAGCAGTTCTTATACAAACCTGCACTTATTTCTGTAATAACTTCATCCAAGAGTGGAGTTCTAAGGTTTATGGCCATACCTCTGTTAGAAAGGTTTGCTATTTTGGGTTAGGCACACAGAATCAAAAGTGTTCAGAACCCCATGAAACACAGCTATGCCAGCAAACCATCATCATTTCAATTCACATTAACTGAACTTACCACTGTAACTGAATACAAAGGGCTTTGTCCCTAAAACTATAACAAAAGACATTTCTACTATGAAGTACTTCTTGGCAAAGCTTCCTCTGAAATAGATGTCTAGTTAAAAAAATTGGAAAACACTTATGTAAACTATTCAGTAAGGTCACAGTAAAATGTAAAAGTTTTCAACTCATACCAAACCAACTCATACCAAACCAAACCTTTCAATTCATATGTATGAATGCAAGCACATTCACAAATATTTTTCAGGAGTCTAACTTGTGACTGCTGCTAGCATAATACCCATCAGAAGAGTAATATGAGTGAGCGTTACCATTCATTTATGGAAGTTTGTTCTGGGGAGGAGGAGGGTTGGAGGATAAATTTCAGTATTAGATAACAAACCTTCAGGTTAAGGTCCATGAAGACACCTGGGTCTTTAAAAGCACCATAAGATGGCAAAAACAACTGGAAAACCCCAACCCCAGCAGAGCTGCTCTTCTGTACGGATTTTACTTCAGAGACTTACAATCTATAGAAAGTTGGCACACTGCAATAGTGAGCACATTTTCCAAATAGTTCTAGCAAGGTGTTTCCTAGCTCCCATAGAATACACCTTTGTATCCTGGACTCGTTCATTACTCCCAACCACAGAGATACATGAAAGAAGGAATTAACTTGTAAAAAGAAGAAAAAAAAAAAAAGATATCAGAATTACTTTTCATCATCAGGCAGCTATAAGGTGAACTACTAATGTAAACTACAAATCTAGTGTGAAAACAGCATGTACTATGCAATTCTGTATTTTTGTATGTTGCCTTATAAAGCTATTGAATACGTCTTATGACATCTCTCTGAGTAGTATCTGTGAAAGAACAAACAGCAAAAAAATCTAAGCTATAAGCAGCTATCATTTTCAACAACTCTCAGGGCACAAGTGCCCAGCATTAATGGAGAAGGAAGAAAAAAAAAAGAGGAAAACTCACCTGAACCCTTTTCACCAACCCTTTCTTTTTTAGTTTGCAATCACTGAAATTCTCTGGCAGATTCTGCAATAAAATAAACAAGTTGATGTAGCTCAATGCTGAAGCGAACATACTAAACATAGAGCAGAATTTGGCTGTATTAACGATCTGAGCCCTCTTAACAGGCATCCTGGAAATGCCATGCCTGCTCAGTGATGATGATTACCCAAGAAAGAATTTAAAAGAAAGTCATAAATTAAAAAGAAACGATGGATACAGCAAGTGGATTGCAAACAGCTGACCTAGCAAATCTATACCATGTCTTTAGGTAACACAAAGCAATAGACTTCATACACTGCGTTTGTCATATGGTAACTCCTGCTGAGCATCACGTTCATTTTTTTCAGGAGCTATGAAGATATATTTATTTCTTATACACACATTAACTCAATCACTTGCTATCATTAGAGCGTATCATCAGTAACGCAGGCATTGCTAGTCTAAGCATCATGTCTGATCTCCTCTGCTATCTCTTCACAGAAGGTAACAGATGTGAGGTGTTACATGCTGACATTCCTTTTACTTTGATTCAAACTGCATCATACTCCTTCCACCCACTACATTAACGTATGTCAACTGAGTGATTGCTGTATGCTTTGTCCTTTTGAAGTGATGCTAAATTGAAGAGTTAGTGGGGAAGCATGCTCAGGTTTATGGTGCTTTTCTGAAATGAGCAGAACACCTCTACAGATGATTATTCTTACCTAAAAACCTTATGCTCCTATTCTGTGAGAAAGAAGTACCTTTGCAAGTAAGTTATCAGGTTAACTCCAAGTTTCACAAGGTAAATTCTACTACAGAAGCCTGTTCTGTGTGTGTTACTTTCTTCATTTATGTAATGCCACTTTACTTCCTTTGCATTTACAGCACAAGATCGGTTCACAACCTGTTACTGCATTTTCAACAGTCGTCTAAAATGACAACTCCTTTAAACTACTAGCATAAGACTTTTAAATTGTTCATTTTAAAAAGCTACACTGCTCTTCACAAAGTATTTTCTATCACCATGTACTACAATAAGCCCTTGTTCACTGCAACATGCTAAATCTGCATGTCTCCTCCTGCAAGATGCTGTGAAAAGATTCTATTATGTGCTTTATTTCAGAAACTGGATGCTCCAGGGACACAGGAAAACATTTGAAAAGTTAGTTTAAAGCTGTGGGTGACTACTCTTCAAACACCAGTTCTAGTTTACAAATAAAAATTAAGGCCTTTGGACTATTTATAGCTGTCTCAGTGAAAAAAAAAGAAAAAAGTTAAGAAAATATTGCTAAGTTGCATTGTAACGGATCTTAGACATAAGACACTGTATCCCCATAGCAAAAAAAAAATTCTCTTTGTTTTCAACAACGCAGTTCACTTTTTAAAAGAAAAAAAAAATCACAAGAAACATTTAACATAAAGAGCATATTTGATACACACTACTTTGACCACATATATGTAATAGCCTGAAAGAACAAAGATCAGTTAGACCTAATTACTAATAGCTGACTTTCAACAGAAAATGAAGATGCTATCACACTGTCACAGAAATTCTTCTATACCTTGAAGTTTTCCACAACTTGGAATTTCTTAATAATCAAAGTCAAAATGAAATTATGCACTAGCTCAGTTACATCACCCATTTCCCTTTGCTGAGCACTAATCTCAGGATGCGTTCTGAAAGACTATGGCCTGTGCAAGTATTCCTACCACCTGAAATAGCAAGTTAACAGTTTTCTATCATCAGAATAGGCCCAACTTAGCTTTCCCTGTTCCCTGTTTGTTAGCAGACAGGGAATTCTACCCGGGCTATCACACAATCTGTTTCAAAAACAGATATTGGTAACTAAACCTTTGAAATCCGAGTGTATAGAATATATTCGGACTACTTATATTTTTGACAACATTTTTCAAAACTGTTCTTAATTGTATCTGTGCATACAAACTCCTCTATTTACTTACATACTTTCATAATTATGCTTTTGTTTTTTGTCTTGTCAAGCCCTTCACAGAGACTTGGAAGTGGTAGACGTAAATGTACTAACTTATAAAGCTGCTTAAAAGGTGTTTTGCAATCAAATTAGTAAAGTTTATAAATTTTAACATCAAATTAAATCTCACGGTCTCTCTGTTTTACCTTAGTCAGCTTACGTCTCCTCTCCAGGAATACGTTGTCCAACTATTCAGGGTTTAACAGGTGAAGCTGGCAATAAACCTTAAGTCACAATAACATTTCAATATTTAATTAAAATCAAGTTTAATTTAAAAATTTAAAAAGTAGCAGCTTAATCTTAGACAGTGCTTATGCAAAATTCTTGCCAAATCTACATTTCCAGTGCTACCATTGCTTGCAGGGCAGTATTTTGGGTTAGTATAAAGCTTCCTACTGCACAGCATGTTCTTAAAAATGCCTGTTTGAGTCTTTCAGTCCTTGGTCTGTATGGTCTTAAACTTTCAAAAGCTGATTGCAGTGCTGGCTTCAACACTGCAAAGGTTCTTCATCCCATTCACCCGGAGAGGGAATCGGGCTCTGCTCATCTCCCACCCGACACTCCCAAAATAGAGAATTTCTTAACCACATCTCTCAGACAGTTCTCCCCGTGTGGCCACATGGACAAGACGCACTGTCAATGCACACATTACACCCACAAAGTTTCATCTTTTGTACGTGCAACACTCACGCTTTACAAAAGATTCTTAAACCAACCAGCCTTTACACTGCAATAAATCCATGTTTGTGCACTTTTCTATCTCAACATCCTCCCTATTCTCTCTTTTTAACTAAAGACCCAGCATTTCTCTCTCCTGAGCGCTGCTTCTTACAAAACACTGTCTCAGGATTTTTTGCCTTCTCCCAGCCTGTCTCCCAAGAAAACAACTCCCTTTGCCAAAGAACATCACCTCAGCTCTACCCAAGTTCCCTTTGCTCGAGAAGCACTTCCAATAACAATTTTATAGGCTAGTATAACCACTACATCTCTGCTCTCCTCTTTGGTTTCTTATTTGCCAAATTAGAGAGCCCAGAAGGAAATATCTGATGCCAAAAAACACTTTACAGCAGTGTAATTAATCAATACACAAAACAAATGCTAGTTAAATTTATCACTTATGGCTGTCACAGTAGAACCAAAGTGACACCATTCTTGAGAGAAGGAAATCTCCTACACTACCAGTCACTAGCAGTAATAGCTAGAACCCTTCTTGTTTTCTGTTATCAAATTGCTTAAAAATAATTAAAAAAAATACCACACACCACCAATGTTAATCAGTTGCAAACAAGGATTTTTGTTAGAGAGAATGCCAGCAATGGCATTCTCCATAAATAAAACCCCAACACAATACATTGTATTTCAGTACGTTATTATCATTATTTATCATTAAATATCTTTTTATCATTAAATGAATTGGTAAATTAGGTAAGCACATCATGTTGACACTGCAACACCTTAGCAGCTTCTTTAGAAGTAGCTGTTAAATGGCATGCTTCTGATTCATACTAAAAGATTTAAGCATTATCATCATGAAAAGCTTATCCAATGTTTATCCAAACACATGAGAAGATTTAGTAGTAAGTTCTTATCGCTCCAAGAGTAAGTGACAGAACTTTACAGAAGCTGGGGAATTGTTTGCTAACAGCATGTTAGTTTCAGAGTATTTCCTTCTTTTAATCCTCAAAACATTAATTTAGTATTAGCAGTGACAAGGAGATAGTGGAAAAAAGCTTCTTCAGAACAGCACAGTAATTTAAGATTTACAGAGGAATTGTAATCCAAAAATTTCTCAAGGGGGATGGGCTACCAAAATACAACTTTGAGTCACTAACATTATCCATGTCCTCAATACAAACACATTCAGTCTGACAGAAGATTTGCTGTTAATTTATGCAAGCAAAATGAGTGACTTGTATTTCAGAACAGAAAGATTTTTTCTGTTTTCAGAGCACTATGTTCCCTGCAATGTCATCTTTCCAGATTCCACATCTGCCATTTAATAAGGAATCATGAGAACAAAGTAATCACTCAGATTGCAGTATTCGTTATTTTTTAAGAACTGTGATTAAGTCAAGCATTTTCTATGTTCTGCTTGCAGAGACTTGCAGTAAGTATTGTGATTTGACTTTTACTCCTTGACCAAACGCTTTAGCTGCTGAAATAAATGTATTGCTGTTGATGCACACAGACAAATTTTCAACTGCTGAACACACCTGAATTAGTATTCCTCCTGAAAAAAAAAATCAAAAAAAAACTCTTATAGAAAGGCCCAACTGCTTCAGAGCCTTCAAGAACTTGTTAAGATACTTACAAGATCCACCTGCCTGTTCTGTAGAAGCAGTAGCCATTTTAAATGAATGTTTAATGTTAAGATGTTTAAGTTACAGCTACTCTACCCAGAGGCATCCCTTCAAGACTGCACTTACACTGTTTTGGCAGTGATGACACCATATTTTTTTCTCACTCCAATACTGTATGACTGCTACTTCCTAACTGTGCACTTTAAAATTCATATTTCATAAAGAAATGGAGCCTGGTAAAAAGAAGTATTAGTTCCAAACTAAGCATGTCTAATTAAAGAGCCTACATCCTTACAGTAAGAGGGCAACACCCCTAGAATACAGAAAACAACATGCATGCTTCCTCAGCCTTAGCTCTCTGTAATCACACAAACCTCATTTTGTATTGAAGTAGATTGTTTGGATCAATCAAAAACCTGTATAATGGCCAAGACAATTTAAAGAACTTTCACAACAATTCTGCCAAGGAAAGAAAACTGCAACATTTACCAAGTGAGTTGCTGGTCTGTTTCCTTTCTACCGTTTATCCATGCTTCTGTGTTACCAGAAAATAGTTCACTCAATCTCTGTATCCTTTTGTTGTTTTGTTTTGAATACCATATAAAACAATTCTGAGATACAGATAAACTACTTCACAAAACTTTGACACTCTTCTGCTTTGAATTTCTGTTTATCATTTTTAACCGTGCCCCTTCCCCTCAGTGGAGCCCATTTACTATCCATATGCATATCTCATTACCATTTTGTGCTGCTACCTCTGCAGGCTGCCCAACTACAGTAAAGCTAAGTAATACTTCATAAAGTTGGTGCCCCGATGTGCTGTAGGATCAGTACACTGAATGGCTGCATTTTATGGAAAGCTTCCATTCAACTATACTTATCTGCAAGATTTCACAGAAGTTTCTCAGAAGTTCAGTTTTCATGACAAAAAACACCGTCTTTGTATGCTAACACAAATAAATACAAAGTTTGGTATGTATAACATAGCTTCATTCACTGCTGTGAAAAGCCTCACTTGTATTTCTTGCTTTAAAAATGTGATGTTTATCAATGCTATATGCTCTTACAGGTTCTTCACTGGAAGTAACAAACAACTATTACAAATATGAAAAGCTATCAGTCATAATTAGTTTTAGCTCTGGCTGTTCTACTTCCACAAGAGACAAAACTGAGGAATGGGGACTCCACTAATTCCTAAACTTAAAGATGTCTGTAAGACTTCTAAAATCTTGTACTAAACCTGGAAACCCAAAATACTCTAGATAATACAGGACGAGGGATAAAATGATAGATAATAGCACACTTTCTGTTTAAGCCAGGGAAGAAATATGAAAATCAAAAGTTAACACAGGAAATTTAGCTTGGGTTAACTAGGAAGCAGTAAAGAGGGTTTTTCTAAACAGAACATAGTACCAAAAATTGAAGGGCTCACAAATATGCGTTAATCCCATCCACATGAAAGAGATGTGAGATTATTGCTATTTTATCAACAACACATAGTAAATCTGCTACTTCAAACAGGAATCAGTTATATGAAGTCTACGTTTAATAGCAAGGCACTTTCCTTTATGTGAGGCAGAAAAGGAAGTGCAAATAATTATAAACTAAGTATTTTAAAGACTTAAAATTAAAAAAAATATTTAAGAACTGTTAACTAAAACAACCAGCAAAGGCTAATTTAACCATTCAAAAGGAACAATATGAAAGAAGAAATTAAGTTGATGAGCTCTGCAAAAATCCTAAGAAGACCCGTGTTGTACAGCATCTGCAGACAGCCAATTCTAATTATTACTCCATAGTTTGCTGCTGAGTTTTTTCAAAACATCTGTCCATTCAAATTCCTTTGGTTCACCAACTATAGGCATTTGCATGGAATCTTTCTGATATAAACCCATAAAGTGTCACTGCAAAGGCATCCAAAACGACAGAAAAGCAGCCTTTTTTTTTCTTTAGAGCAGAAGATTATGATTGTGATACACGGAAGAATGATATAATGAAGTTGCAGACAGCGACCCAGCAAGCACAAAAACAGAATAACAAAATACCCCAGCTGCCACAATCTTCCATATATCTCTGCACAAATTCCTCATTCTCACCTAGCTTTCAGTTCCTGCATGATACAGGCAGACACACTGTACTCTGGGAAGATGCTGTAAGGTTATGATCCATTAATGACTGTGAAGCACTTGGACACACCTTGGATTCCCTTTGGATACACATTCCAAAGAAAGAATTTAGTCCTCAATATGCAGGCACCTTGAACAAAAGTACTGTCAGTCCGTATACAACTGACCAGAAAATTATTCAGTCTTCGCAACCTCCTTCTCCTTATGCAATATAGCAAACAGTGTGCTTGAGACGTTTTGTTTTTTTCCAGACCTTTACTGTTACCATGAAGTTTAATGTTAAAGTTTGCCAAGACAAACTAAAAGGGTAAAACTTAAGTAAAGGATACCCAATTTCATGTAGTCTTAGCAGGCTGCTGCCTCAAATGAAGCTCTTCTGTAGAATGGGGATGCATACACAGGCATTAATGTCACCATTTAGAAACAGATGTTGCCAAGTAGACTTTTGGAGACATACAGGGGCAAGAGCTGGATATTAAGAAAAGAATGAGCAAACCAATTAACTAGTTTTCAAAGCCAAAATAAATTTGTTAGCATTTTAAAGTATTAAATAAATTAGAAGAAATATATCTTCCTAAAATTATGTTGGGATTCGATCCTTTTCTGCTGTTATTTACTTACAATGGCATCAATCTGCTCCAGGATCTTCATGAACTGCTCTGCAGTTCCTTTTATCCTCTTGTCAAGCTGTTTTAGAGCTTCTGCTTGCAGATCCTTTGCCAAAAATCCCTGGTAAGGAAAAAAGAGGGCAGAAAAAACAAAATTCCACACCTTAATGAATGATCAGCTTGGAAAAAACATCTCTCAACATGCCACATCAAAACAAGACCTACTATTTTGGTAGTTTCAAGTACAAAGGGGACTCCAATCTTAATCTTTATTCAATTACTCTGTACAATCAAGGAAGCCTAGCAGATCTTACTTGTTAAGAGATTAACAAAACTCAAAGTAAGCGGCATTCTTCTTTGAGCTTTGGTACAATCCTTTCTGGTTTTCTAGATCTAAGAAATATCATTTATTCAATATGCAACAATATTTACGTTTTTACAGTGCCATACATTTCTCCATTTTGGAAACTCAAAAATGGCATTTGAAATTCAGAAAAAAAATATTCTATGATAAAATATTTTTACAAGTATATTATTATTCAACAGCTAAGAGGGACAGCCTATTACTTACTACACAAAACCTTTAGAAGCTTGTGTGTGGCTTTTTTCTTTTGTTTGTTTGTTTTTATTTTGTTTATTTAAATATATACCTACAAAACAGTTTTGTAAAGATATAAAACAAGAAAAATCCGGCATACCTTCTGGATACTTGTGAACTCTTTATTAACTTCCTCTAACTTATTAGCTATTTGCTCCACTGACTTCTCCAGATCTTTTAACTTCTTTAATTCAGCCTCTTCTTCTGGACTGTTCTGTGTATTGAAAAGGAAAATATCCACAACTACTGAACAAAGAGTCACTATGCAGCTGAAGAGCAAGCAACAGTGGTGAGAGAGACATAAAGGCTTTTGTTGACTTAAACCATGTACTGCACTGTGGTTTTCCTTTTCATAATTTAGTGCCTATCAAATAAGCTTTTCTCCAAGCTTACTAACAAATACAGTTAAGTGGCAATGTATATAAACACATTAAAGGATACAAATTTAAAATGAAAAACAAAAGCGCAAACAGTTTTTCCCTTGTTATTTTACTATTTTGTAAGTAGAGGAAACTTGTAATCAGGTGATACAACCTCATACTCCACTTGGCAAAGCCAGCCACAAGTCATTTCACTAGAAATAACCCAGCAGGATCAGTAGCAACAGCTTTTTTTTTTTCCCCCCACCAGAAAAATAGGAGGTTCAGGAGCAGTCAGAAGTAACGTTAGGCAGAAGTCTGTCAATAATGTAATTTCAGAAATGTAGAGCTGTACAAGCTGCAGACTTATTTGCAGTATAATGTGAGAATGAACTCAGCTTTGTGGGCAGGTGAACAAGATTAGTTTTATGCTGTAAGCAGTGTCTGTGTTCAGAGGCTGAATAACAGGAAACAGGATAATGCACAAACAACGTAATTCTGAAATAACACCAACCCTTTTTCCAATCAACATGACTTTGCAACCGTTTTTAACACCAAGTGCTGACAATGGTTGTTCCAATTCTTTCAGAGACTTTCCTAAACAGAAAGGGAGGGAGGGAAAAAATAGTTAAAATAATATTAATTACAGTTATTAGCATAAGAACATCTTTTTAAAGACATTCAAAACACGGACACCTGAAAGCTACTACAATGAAACATCTCTAAGAAACATTGACAGATTTACAAGTTACCTTTGTATATAAGTTTCTGAAAAGGAACTGGGACACCAGTGACTTGTTCAATAAGTAGAGCCATGTCTTGTAGTGTAGGTTCACTATCTTCCTGTGGTGAAGCAACCTGAATACTGTGTTTTTCATTGCCTAACAAAAAACAAAACAAAGCAAATGAGAACAAAAAAAAGAGTAATACTTACCATTACCTGGAAAATATCAAAATATCATAGGGAATCAGTTTCTAATAATTGTTTCCATTAACACAGAAAATTCTCAAGTCAGCGACTCCCTCATATAATCTTAATTTTAAATGACAGGATTCACAGAGTCATCTAGGTTGGAAAAGACCTTCAAGATCCAGCCATCTACCTGACCTACCAAGTCCCGGTAGTAAACCATGCCCCTTAATGCCACAACTACCACTATTCTCTTGCAACTTTCTAATGTATTTTCTTCCTTTTAGAGTGACTTACTTCCACTGAAAACCTTCTTTTCCTTCCTAATAATCCGAAGAGTTGGGTCAGGAGCATCCTACCAGTATAACGATCCTGCTATGCATTATTCTCCATTTCTTTTTAACAGAGCGTATGACCTAGATAACCCAAAAGCTAAAGCATGAAAGTCCACACCTTTATGATCTGTTTCACTTCCTAGTTATAGGAACTCCAACGGTGTAAGTCTTGGGGAATCTGAGACAATTTACACTACCTTTGCTCCCCAGTTCTAACACACGTGAAGCAAGTTCTCATAGTCCAAAGACTACTTCTGCCCAAAATATTGCTGATAAGCAGCCTTAGCCATCTTGAGAAGTCTGTGATGGGCAGCTGAACACCACCACAGCCACTCTCTCGCTCCCCCTCCTCAAAGGAAAATGGGGAGAAAATATGATGAAAATGGCTCAAGGGCAGAGATAAGGACATGGAGAACACTCAATAATTATTGTAATGAGTAAAACAGACTCAGCACACGGAGATTAATAAAATGTATTGCCTATTACTATCAAACTAGAGAAGTGAGAAACAGAAAGCAAACTAAAACCACTTTCCCCCAACCACCCTCTTCCACCTCCATTCCCACAAGCAGTGCAAGGGAATAGGGGCTGCGGTCAGTCCCTGATGCTTTGTCCCCGCTGCTCCCTCAGGCTCCCTCCCTGCCCCTGCTCCCCGCGGGGTCCCTCCCACGGGATGCCGTCCTTCCCCAGCTGATCCCACACGGGCTGCCCACAGGCAGCAGCTCCTCAAGCACTGCTCCCACACGGCTCCGTCCCACGGGCTCCATCCATCCATCCATCCCCCAGGAGCAAACTGCTCCAGCACGGGTCCCCCACGGCTGGGCGGCAGCTCCCCCCAGACCCCCTGCTCCTGCGGGGGCTCCTCTCCACGGGGGGGCTGCAGCTGCGGCCCGGGGCCTGCTCCTGCGGGGGCTCTCCATGGGCCGCAGCCTCCTCCAGGCCACATCCACCTGCTCCACCGGGGGCTCCTCCACCCACGGGGGGGCTGCAGCGTGGAGATCTGCTCCGTGGGGGACCCATGGGCTGCAGGGGGACAGCCTGCTCCACCGGGGGCCTCTCCCTGCACAGCCCGCAGGGGAACTGCTGCTGCCTGCCTGGGTCCCTTTTGGAGCTGGCTCTGCTCTGACATGGGGCAGCTGCTGGGCTCTGCTCACAGAGGCTGCCCCTGCAGTCCCCCTGCTACCAAACCCTTGCCATTCAAACCCAATACACTGTCACCTTCTGCTAACGGTTCCTCCTACTCAACCTCCCTAAAATTACTTGCATGCAAACAGCAGGAATTTCTTAGAAGAAAGGAATATGTCAATTAATCTCTGCATCGCAACTGATCCATAACCTCTGCTCCCACACATTTAAGCTCTGTCAATCTGAAAGCACCCACAGGAATCAGCCACCACTGGCTGCAAGGGAAATTAAGACAGGCATTTCTTTACTTCACAGGAAGAGAAAGCTCCGGAACAAATACCAGAAGGAAAACTATTCTTACACCACTGATTTTTAAGCGCATTAATCTTTTGCAAAGCAGAGTGCTAGAAACATCGATTTTAAAACGTTCTCGTCCGCCACAGTCACACGACAAGCTACACTGAGGCCATAAAAGCTTGCAAACTCAAAAGAAAGTATTTTCAAATGGTTATAACTTCAGAATAATACTATAACAACTTTCCCTGATACATTTGCCATAAACATACCTTCCCAATTTGCTCAGTTAAAAAGAGAAAACAGTAACAACAATAAAAAAAGAAAATTTCAGTCCTAACCTTGGTGTATTTCAAAAGATTGTTTTGAGGCACAGAAGAAAGAAAATTAAAAAAAAAAAAACAGCAAATGGAGAAGAGAATAGCTGAAGTTTGCCTAATAATAGAAACTGCTTGAACAACAAATTCTGAGCACCACTTTGGGCAGATTGTAGCACAAGATATCATGGCTTATCCTTTGTATCAGTAAATGAAAATACTAATTTAAAATAATGACTACTGTTAATCTCCAAAATCTTTTAAAAATTAGCATCAATTCAATGTCTTGCAGATTGTGAAGTGATGCATGTGGATCTGCTGTTGCTCCTCCTTAACCTTTATTTCCATCTTTCCCGACATTCACCCTCACACACACACAACTTTAATAAAGATGCCTGTGCAAAGTAGTAACAGCACCTGACAGCAACCAGAAAGTGAAGTCCAAGATAAAGTGTGCCTACTTACTGTTTGTTAATTATTAACAGCAAAAGTAATTACCAGGTAATAACTGGAAAGATAGAAGCACTCAGATAAGGCTGTTGGTAAGCCTCCCAGATCAAATGGAACCTCTGAAGGCATCAGTGAGCATAGGAATCATGATGATGCAAACAGAGCACTCCACAAAGTCCCTCATCACCAAAAATTCTTAGATAAAACTGCCAATAGATCGAGCATAACAATTCAAAAACGGGAATGAGCAAATGAAAATAAGCAACGAGCTCTAAAGGTGGAAAGAATGGCACCAACATTGTGCAAAAAGGACAGGAGCAGAGCTCACTGCCTAATGACTAGAAAATAACCCATAAATAACTCTCAAGTTCTGTGAACAAAACCACTGATGAAAATACCACTGGTTTTATATTCTGCTTTCCTCAGTGTTCCTCCTACTGCCTAACCTCAATCCACTTCATTAACCACAGCATTTTGAAGGAGTCCGGGCTACCGTTACCTTTTTGCAGTCACCTTCTATGTGTATTTGCAGAGTCACTCGCACCTTCCTTTCCACTTTCATCTCCCCCCTCCTACTTCTTTTCTCCAGAAAAAAAAAAGTTCAGTAGTTCCAGCATGCCTTTGAGTAACGTTTCACCAGATCAGCACCAAATTGCTCATCACAAAATTACAGCGTGGCCGAGGTTGGCAGGGACCTCTGGAGATGACCTGGTCCAACCCCCCTGCCGAGCAGGACCACCTAGAACACTGTGCGGGATGGCATCCAGGCGGGGTTTGAATATCTCCAGAGAAGGAGACCCCACAGCCTCTGGGCAGCCTGTCCCAGTGCTCCGTCACCCTCACGGCACAGAAGTGCCCTCATATCGAGCCGGAACCTCCTGCGCCTGTTGCCTCTCGTCCTGTCACCGAGCACCACTCTAGGCTCCGTCCCCAGCCCCAGCCCCCAGTCCCATCCCGCCCTCCCGGCGGCCCCCCGGCATCCCCGGCCCTTACTGTAGGTGACGGTGACCGTAACGGCGGCCCCGGACGCCGCCATCTCGCAACCGCCTGCCGGGGCGCGCGGCCGGCGCGTCACTTCCGCCCTGCGAGGGCCGGGGAGGCGCCATGTTCCGCCGGGCGGGACCCCGCCGCCATTTTGTGCCGGCGGTTGGGCGGGGCGGGGCGGGGGCGGAGGCGGGGTAACGGCGGCACCACAGACGCCACACAAACGGGTCGGCTGCTCCAAGTGATTTTATGTCAATAAAAGAATACATCACGTTAACGAGAACCCTATTCGTTACAGCGTCCAAGGTTACAAGTTACGATAGCAAAGTCTCAAGGCTGAAGTAGTTTAAAAACGTTTTCGTTTCTTTTTTATCAAATAAGCGTTAAGGGAGCTATTTTACACAGAGAAAGCGGCAACATACAGCCTTAGTTTCACGAAGTCAGAACAGAACTCAGCAATGAACAGCCACCACTATTCTTCACGTACGACTTTGTCCATTGAGACACAGGAAACCAAAATCTATCGGACCGACTGCTTCCACTGAAGGAAGCTGTGCCAAGTTTTTCCATTAATAGAAAAGTCAGTAGTAGAACAGCTTTCTTCAAAGAAAGACCACCACCAGCCAGCCATATTGCATTCTAGGGTGTAGTGATATTAAGGTTACACTGGAAGGACAAGTTCTCCAGGATTTTCAAAAATAATAATAATCTTAATTTGATTTGTAAAGTGTAGTTCATTATATCCACTGTGCTTTTGGAACATTTATGTTGCAGGGATCTTTGGCAGTCCAAATTCATCCACCAATACGCCATCCTGTAAGAAGGAAAGGAAGATGAACAGGTTAACAATTCCCAACACACCAAAACATATTGCAAAAGTTTCCCTACAATGTTAATTGTGACATATCTCAAATTGTCAACATCACTGGAATCAAACTAAGAGCACCAGTGTTGTTCCTCAGTAAGCTATACTAGAGTCCCAAATGCAAACATACAGAAGATTTTTTTCTATTTTTACGAATAACTACAGTAACAGCTGTAATAGTATGCTTAAGTTCTACTGTCTAACTGCTGATGTTAGACAGCAGTTCCAGAATGCCATTTTAGCTCCTTAAAATGTATTATATGCATTATATATATGCAGCATCTAAAACACACTAGATATTAAACAATATTTCTACCGAAAATATTACGGATTACAAAATATCAAGGATTCTTAATCAAGCTAATGCACATAAATTTGATTAACTCAGAAAATATACATAATTTGCTTCTAAGGAGCAAAGGACTCACTTTGTTTTTTGTGTCAACAGGAGTGCCCTCTGGGATTGCTGGAGCAGACGCAGCTTCATCTAAGTAGGAATTGTCTTCATCAGCCAGAAGCTCATCACCCAGTGCATCCAGTTCTGAAATTCAATTAATTTGGTTGAAAAATTATGCAAGGAATTCCTTTTGCAAAGGAAGAGTTGTTCTTAAAGAGAAACAGGATTCATACTGAATGCTTACACTCATACTGACATTCCTTACTTAGCCAGCCATCAGGAATACACAAAGACTTGCATGCGTGCACACGCACACAAAGAGAACGTTCTTTTCTTCACTGATACCATAAATATTTCTTTCACGATTGTCTGATATTTTTCTTACTGCATTTAAAAGAAATGCAGCATTTAAGTTTAAAAGAGTGGTGTGGCCAATGAAACTAAAATATGACTCTACTTCCCTCTCCATTTTCCTTACCTGCTTCCAAGTCATCTTCATCAATCTCTGGTGTTCCGTAGCTACGACTCAGTGCTTCCTGGACTTCATTGGCTTCTTCCATCATATCCTCCAACTGATCTTGTATATCCTGAAGCAACACACAATTTCAACTGGTCCACATTTAATAGTTTCAGATGAATTTATCAGATCTTAGTCAATTGTTTAATAATTCCAGCATAAAAGACACTTCCTTTTTTTAATGCATAAATCATTTTTTGAAGCAGCATGAATACAAGTCAAGACACATGTATTCAGTACTATAGCTTGGTCTTAATTGCTATTAAAATTATAATAAATACTGTATCAGGCAGAAAAAAGAGGAACCTAGCAAAAGCATCTCTGCAAAACCTTGTTTTTCCTGAGGGGTCGGGGAGGAGGACGTGACATGACAGTGAATATTCTTCAGGGTGAACTGAAAATCTGCAATAAACTACCCAGAGCTCAGCATTATCTTGAGCAGCAGGAGAGAATAAATCTAAGGACTAGCCTAAGTTATGCCACAGCAAAATTGAGAAGATACTTTGGCATGACTTAGGTGCAAGTAAGGAGGAGATACATATATATAAACAGCCCAGGAAAGGACTTGGAGGAATTCAGCAATGGCATTTGATAAGAGTTTAAGTGCAGCATACTTGAACATATTTAAAAGTTCTTATGTTTTTAAACAGCATTTTCTGAAGACAGGGCCAAGCCTTGCACACCTTTTGAAAGCGTTTATTTTATTTCTATTTACTTTTTAAGTCAGGCACTACCATAAAGTAGGAGGAGCAAAGGACTAATGTGCATGTAAGGGCTGCAACATGGAGGGGGTGAAAGGAGGCCAAAGAAGCCATAGCAGGAAGTATTCGCTAACATTTATGCTGCAGTGCAGAGGAAAGAAACATAGAGATTAAAGATTAGCCCAGCAAGGAAACACCGATCAGTATAACAACGCCAACAACTGACTGTGCAGTACCAGAGAAGGAAGGAAAGAATTAAGATGAGGGTCCCATGAAGGGAAGAAAAAAGAGTCAAACATAAATCAAAGCAGTCAAAGTTACATAGTTACAAATCATCACTATTTTAGTGCATTGTTTCTGTCCTTTAAACTACAGAAGCTCACCTCTATTTGATCAATTTTGACTTGCTTGTAAGCTTTCTTCATTTCTTTCACTCCCAGTTTCATTGCATCAACCTAGAATAGAGTGAAACACCATGCTTGTATCTGATGTAACACACACAAATTAAACGAACGTGAGATTAATATCCTGGTACCGTTGTCTTTGTATCTTTCAGTGCCTGAATGGTGTAATTTGCTTGTTCCATATTAAAAGACTGCTGTGATAGGTTATCCCGCTGCTGTTCATACCTGTTAAAAACAACGCAAATAACAGCTTTAAAACACCAGTATTTATAGTCACAAAATAAAATCTTTTTTTTTTTTTAACTTGAAAATTCAAAAGTAGTCATCTGCTGACAAGTACAGTTGTTCTGTTTTCTTTATTATTGTAAACAATCACAAAATAGTTTCACAGAAATCTGACCATTACACATTTCCATGTATTTAAAGCCAAAAAAACTACTCCTAATTAAGCTTCTGTTTTAACTAATGTTGATACTATATTTGTCTAGGCTTATGCTGCAGGTGAGGCGCTTTTATGATATCATAAAAGTTTTAAAAGATGATATCATAAAAGTTTCAGTCACTGTAAGGTAGAGATGCGTGCCATTGCTTACTGATGCTGTAAGCAGAATGGAAGCAATGCAGGTTATCCAAATCACAGTGGCTCTGCACTGCAGTTTGGCTGAGTAGTTGAGTAGTGGTGGGCATTGGGTGGAAAAAGGAAACTTTCAACTAACCAAAACAACAAAAAAAAAGACTTTAAAAAATAAAATAATATTTCTCTTAGAATATACGTTCACAAGCCAAGCATAGCTTTAGTGATGGGCAGATTTAGGTCAGCTTGTCCCCATTTAACTTCATACTAACATACTAACATACAAATTAGGCTGAAATATGCTGACACTGAATCTGTAATATGCTTCTGAAGGGCTGGCTAGCTTGTTCAGCATTTCTCTTTTAAGAATGCTCAGAAAAAGAGTACTGGAAAGAAAAATGGAAGTCCAACACAGTCCTTCAACAAAACAGCCTCATTAACCCCAGACTGAAACAGGTTTAAACTTACATTCGCTTCTGCTTTAACACTCTCAACGCTTTCTGCTTTACGGTATTCTGAAAGACACAATATTAATATCTTAGGAAAAGTATTTGACTGTACACTGCATTATAGTGTTTAAACTTTAATGTATTGGATTTAAACTTTCCAAAACAGTCACCAGCTACTAATGCACATTGCAACAATAGTCACGTTCAGTGTTCATCCTGCATTAACGATTAACAAAATAGGCCTGTGTGTAATGCTGCTAATAGCAAATACTTTCCAAATTTCCAGCTCTTGATCTTTTTCATAAGCAGAATATAAAGTCCAATTTAAATATCAGAACTACCTTTCATCCACATATCTTAACGGCCAGCATGAAGTAATATTGCAAAAGGTACTTTAACGATACAAATTATATTAGGTGTGTTTATCACTAAACAAATATTTGATATGTTTATTATTAGGTACTGTTTAATTTATACATTCATCCCCTTACAAAACTGGGCTTTCCTACCCCTTTTCTGAATATCACAGATCTTTTCCTTTTGGCAGGGGAACAGAATGGCCTCTCTACCAGACTTAATTCATGTAACAAAAGGAAGAAGAGAGGCAAGCAAGTTACTTTTGATTGGCAAAGTAAGAAATAGCTCTACACTTGTAAGAAATAAAAGAAAACAATTAAGAAATTTTTAAAAAATAAAGCATTGTTCAAGGACACGTTTAAGAGGTGCTTCAGAATAAAAATAAACCTGCAGGATCTTATATCTCATTAGTAAGGCAAAATGCATTTCTAAGAGCCTGAAGAACTGGCTCCATCACCACCACTACATGACACAGGGTGCGAGTCACATCCTCTCACGCTTCAATCCCACAGAAGGTTGTTACCTTTGCAGGTCCCTCTCTCATCTTCTTCATTTGATCCTTATACTTCACTAGTTCAGCATCGAGCCTCGCGATTTTCTTGTCTATCGACTCGGCTCTGCTGTCCACCTGTAAGAGACGACAGGAAAACCAAGCGCATTTATTAGCATTTTATTCAGGTATTGGACAGCAAAAGGAACACCCTTATCCTGAATATGCCTCTAAACAAGATATTTTTTCCCCTCAGTGATTTTACAAATAGCTTGAAGTTTGTTAAGGATCTGAAGGCAGAAACACCTCCTACAAGGAGCACAAGAAGCGCCGTAAGGTTTCAGCAAGCTCTGCCATTGTAACACATTCTCCTCATTTTGAGATGCTCTCTTGGACACCCAGGCAGC